CCAAAGTGCTGGAACTACAGGCGTGAGCCACCGCGCCCGGCCAACTCCAAGTTTTTGATCTTTTTAAGAGTCTCACTCTGTTGCCCAGGATGGAGCGAAATGGCCTCTGCCTCCTGAGTTCAAGCACTTCTCCCGCATCAGCCTCCTGAGTAGCTGGGACTACAGGGGTCCGCCACAACGCCCGGCTAATTTTTGTATTTTTGGTAGAGACAGAGTTTCACCATGTTGACCAGGCTGGTCTCAAACCCCTGACTTCAAGTGATCCACCCGCCTTGGCCTCCCAAAGCGCTGGGATTACAGGCGTGAGCCACTGTGATCGGCTGATTTTTGTATTTTTAGTAGAGACCAGATATGAGCCACCACACCCAGGCTATTTATTTCTTTTGAGGAGTCTCACTCCGTCTCCCAGGCTGGAGAGCAGCAGCGCGATCTCGGCTCACTGCAACCTTTGCCTCCCAGGTTCAAGCAATGACTGTGCCTCAGGCTCCCAAGTAGCTGGGACTACAGGCATGCGCCACCACACCCTGCTAATTTTTTTTGAATTTTTAGTAGAGATGTCGGTTTCACCGATTTGGCCAGGCTGGTCTCGAACTCCTGACCTCATCTGCCCGGCTGGACCTCCCAAAGTGCTGAAATGACAGGTGTGAGCAACCGCACCCCGCCTTTTCGGAATTTTTAAACAGGGCCCTATTTTTTCATTTAGCTCCAGGCCCTACAGATTCTGCAGGGGGTGCTGGAGCTGCCTGCCTGGCTGACCAGGCTGGGGCTGGTGTCAAGACCTGGGAAGGGCTGCCCAGCCTCAGGGCAAGCTGCCTCAGGCAAGACGCTCACCTTCTGTGCCTGTTTCTTTGGGGATGGGCAGGGGACTAGGGGAAGGCAAGGAGCTGTCTGGGGCGACACCTGCTGGCCACTGGGGGCACAACACACACCTGTGACATCCACGCCAGGCCCAGCTTCCCCCAGTACTCAATGCCCCTTGGCTGACTCCTCCACCTCTGCTTCTGCCACCTGGTCCACCCCCGTTATCGGCGCCTGCAGGAGCCCGGTTTCCTGGCTCCCGCCATTGCCCACCTGTCCTCCCCACAGCAGCCACCAGAGGGCACCTATGAGCACCTAAGTCAGGTCCTGTCCCTGCTCTGTCCGCCCTCCATGGCTCCCACCTTCCTCTGAGGGTAAAAGCCCCATCCCTTCTCTGTTCTCCACCCCTTCCTCTCTTCCCCTCCCTCTGCGCCAGCCACACGGGCTTCCTCGCTGTTCCTCCAACACACTGGGCGTGGTCCTGCCCCAAGGCCTCACAGGCGGTGCCTCTGCCTGGCTCCCCCTCAGGCCCCAGCATGGCTCCCTCCCTTCCTGTCTCCCAGGATACTAATCACATATTTCTCAGGCCTTTCCTAAACAGCCTGCCAGAAACAGCCACCATCGGCTGCGGGTGCGGTGGCTCACGTCTGTAATCCCTGCACTTTCAGAGGCCAAGGTGGGCGGACCACAAGGTCAGGAGTTCGAGACCAGCCTGGCCAACATGGTGAAACCCTGTCTCTACTAAAAATACAAAAAAAATTAGCTGGGCGTGGTGGCACGTGCATGTGGTCCCAGCTACTCGGGAGGCTGAAGCAGGAGAATCACTTGAACCCAGGAGGTGGAGGTTGCAGTGAGCCGAGATCACGCCACTGCACTCTGGCCTGGCGACAGAGCGAGACTCCATCTCAAAAAAAAAAAAACCAGGAGCAGAGGGCCCAGTACGCTACCTCTGGATGCACACCCAAGACTGACAGCAGGGACTCAAGCAGAAGCTTGCGCACACGGGGGCACAGCGGCACAATTCCCGAAAGCCACAAGGTAGAAGCCACCCGGATAGACATGCATCACCGACGGACAGATCAACACAGCATGGCCCATCCACACAGGGGAATATTACTGAGCCATGAAAAGAGAACCTGGACACAGACAGCAGTGTGGATGCATCTTCAGAATATCACGCTCAGTGCGAGATACCAGAGACAGGACACATCCCATGCGGTTCCACCCCTAGGAGGTCCCTAGAGCCATCAGATTCACAGAGACAGAGAGTAGGATGGGGGGGGTGTCAGGGGCGGGGGGGGGGACAGGCGGGGAGTGTTTCATGGGGTCTGTTTCAGTTTAGGAAGAGAAGGTTCTGGAGAGGATGGTGGTGATGGCTGCACAACCGTGTGGATGCACTGAACGCCACTCAGCTGCGCGCTTAGACGTTTGGTATCTGTATTTTACTGTTCACTTGTTTTCAAAAGGAAAAAATAACTGAAGGAAGACTGCAGAGGTCCCACGTCCACAGCTGACAGAAACGGAGGCCGGGAGGGCAGGACTTCCCCACAGGTGCCCTGGACGGTGGGCGGTGGGGGGTGGGCAGTGGGCCGGCCCAGGACCTGGGCTCCTCCCCATCTCACTCCCCAGTCCCCCAAACAAGGCGGCGTGTCCCGGGGGGTTGCTGCGGCCTGGTGCTAGTGAAATGAACCTGAAGCCCGGGATCAAACAAGATGATGGGGGAGAGGCCCCGGGACACCGTTCGGATGCGGCCAGGAGGCTCCCACAGGGGCAGGCAACGCCCTGGGAAGTCCAGGGCTCCTGGGGGCCAGGCCTCTGCACACTCACCCCCAACCCTCTTGGAAGGGCAACAGGAAATTAACCAGAAGGGGGCTGCCAGCATTTAGGAACAAAATTTATTCCAATTTAAAACAGAGTTCATTTCAGGAGAAAGATATGAAAAGTCGACTTCCATCAGTGTCTGGAAGAAGGGTCAGGGCCGGTGGCCACGGGAGGTGACACTGAGCCGTGCCCCAGCCCCCTCCCATCCCCCAATTCGCACAACACATGCATTTCAAATGGTAAAAGGTTTAAAAACAGCGTTGTATAGAATATTCTTTTTTAAATAGATTAAGGTTGAAATCGTCTGAAATCAGGACTGTGTAATATACAAGTATCACCGGGTCCCATCCACCAGGCTGGCCACAGGACCCACTGCCACCACTGGGGGACATTTGCACGGGGATGCCCCTCTGGAGGAGCCAAGGGACCCAGGGCGTGGGTCTTGTGGTGGCCGGGGACTGCTGCCGCCTGAGCGTGACGTGGTCGGAGAAGGTGGTCGGCACTCATGAGAAAGCATTGGCAGGTGAGTCACCAAGGTAAAAACACACACCCCACACGTGGCCCCACATGTGGCAAGGGTGGGGGTCGGCTGCCCCTTCCCCAACCCGAGGGTGTCAATGGCACGAGAACCACTGCCTGGGACTGTACTGGGCAAGCACCCTGCCCCAGGCCTGCAACCCCCACCTCCGCTCTTCTCGGGGGAGGGGGATCAGGCATTCAAGCCCAGAGGACCCGGGGCAAGACAGTTTGGCGGCCCCAGCCTGGCTCTGGGATGCTTGGCACGGCCCCTCCCCGGGAAAAGCTAATACTTAGCCCAGTGGCACCCCGGCCTGAGTACTGGGCAACTGCACCCTCAGGCCAGGTCCAGGTCCAGGTCCCCTTGTGCGATCTGGGCCTTCAGAGATGCCACAAGCCCAGGCCCCCAGAGGAGTCCACTTCGGGAACGGATGCAGCGACCCTGCCAGGGGTGGCCCCATCTGTTCCCCAGGGCACCGCCAGACCCCAGCACCCGCCATGGGGGGCTGCTGGCACCAACCCTCTTAGGTAGACACTTGGCACGAAAAAAGGACGCTTCTGGGAGAGACAAAAGAGGAAAAGTGGCATGGGGAAGCTGGGGGGGATCCCACCAGCCCCTTCTCCCCATGGGGCTCATCACCAGAAATGTAACTGCCCTGACCTGTACGCACCTCCCCTGCCCCTCCATTGGGCTCCCCTGCTTCTCGCCCCAGAAGCCAGCAGACAGCCCTGCAGACAAGGAGGCCGGGGTAGGCCCGACAGCGGCGGGCAGGAACTGCTGGTCCGGGTGCTCTTACTCTGGGGCCGTTTCTTCTGTCATCCGTCAAGGCTAGAAGCAGCGGGGCAGAGTCCGCATCAGGCGGGAAAGGCAGCACCGGCGATCCACCCCTGGGCCAGCTGTGCCAGCCGCAGACCCACAAAGCGCTGTAGTGTTCAGTCAACAGGAGACGAAGAGCTGCCTCCCCAAAACAGTCCCTCCTTCCACAGCGCCCAACTCTCCGGGGAGAACCAGTCTTGGTGCCTCAGTGCCTAAAGGGGCCCCAGGAGGAGGTCCCCGGGCTGTGGCTCAGTGCGGGTGGCCTGGCGGGCTCCCCCTCGGGCCATGGCCGTGGCCAGCCAGGCTGGGAAGCTGCCCGGGCCGGTGCCTGCCGCCACCTTCCCCGTGCCCCTGGCCAAAGTGCGAGTGCTGGTTCCCGCCCCTTCCCCGCCCCCGGGGGGCGGCGCTGGGGGCAGGCACAAGTGCTTGGGACAAGGCCACGCACGGAGCTGCCGGCCACGACCCTCTCTCTGCCTCTCGGGTACACACCTGAGAATATTCTGTAAAAGTCCCCACCCCACCCTCGCTGTTTCCGAATTGGTGACAACACAAAGCGGAACAAAACTAAAAGAAATGCCCCAGCCAGGTGGCCTTTCTCCCGGTGTCACCGGGGACTGTCCCTCCAGCCACCCAGCCGACGCGGGCTGCAGTGAGGTGCGCTCCAGCCG